CTCTCTCTCTCTCTCTTAGAGGTAATCGATTCCCTAAAGTCTTATTCTAAGACTAGTTTTTTTCTGGGAGAGGATTAGTGTTGGCCAAAAAGAAATTTCTTAGAAATTTCTCAGTAGAAATTTCTAGAAATTTCTCCTGAACAAATTTCTCGGAGAAATTTAATCAAAACATCGAATAATTAACTTAATAAACTTAAAAACAAAATATTCTTAATTAAATATGTTTCATTAACTACTACTGCATGCACTGAAATGATAAAACACACAAAAATACACAAAATTGACTCAAATACCATAGAAAGACCCAAAAAAATAACGTAATAATAAACACGTGTAATTTATGTGACGCTTTTGTATATTTGTGTGTATTTTGTGTGAAACACATTGGATTACGTGGGGTTCCCATTGAACACCAAATTATGTGATTTTTAAAATAAAATAAAGCCATAATTAGAAGCATAATAGAGTTACCAGGATGTTTAACATGACTGTAAGAAATAGTTTTATTTAAATAAACATCTAAAAGTCTTAATTAATTGTAAAATCAACATGATGATAAAACACATGTTTATAAAAAAAAGTCCATAGATTACTGTGGGGTTCCCATAGAAATTGTGCATTGAATGGTACAAGACTTCTATTGAAATGTCAACAAAATACTTTTTTGAACATAAAATCAATTAACTATTATTTAATAAAAATTGTTTTTAACTTACGTAATATCTATTTACACAATTCAGTGGTTATTAATTAAATGATAAAATAAATAAGTATAAATGCTTGTTTAATAACAACAAACTAACTATAAATAATAAATACTATAAAATAGGACCAAATGGAGGGTACGGTCATATATAACGTCAAGAATGTTTTACATAGAATTTAATGGGGTTCCCATAGACAGAGAAATTTCTAGAGAAATTTGTTAGAAATTTCTCGTAATTTTTGGAAATTTCTCATTTTACCCAACACTAGAGAGGATATGTATGGCATTATCGGTGAAACCGATTTGATACCAACATATAATGTTATCCCTAAATATATGTATAATTTGATGGGTAATTGTATAGGCGTTCCCACGTCTGAGTCCCACTTCACTACCAAATAGATGTCTCCTTTCCTCTCCTCCTCAGAGCTGGTAATCGATGTCATCAATGAGAGAGTGAGAGGTATTGGAGGCCTGTATTCACTACGAGATCAATGAATGCGAAGTCGACTCATAGACACTAATAGTGCTTTAATTTTACAGAAATCATTTAGCTTTAGATTTCGTATTCATTGATAAATCACTGCTAAGTTTGTAATGTTTATAGAACTTTATATTCTGGTAGAAATATTAAAAGATTAAAATTCTAGTTAACTTTCAATGATCTCTTTCTCTCTCTCTCTCTCTCTCTCTCTCTAATTCACTTTCACATAATCTTACATTCAATACACGTCTAGCGAATCAATGATAAAATAAATCAATACATAAGTCGGTTAGAAACTAAAGGATTACACTTACGAATAGAAATCTGGAGGAAAACTATTCAAAATGATAATCCAGTTATTTGTCAAACAATTAGAAAATTGAAAACTTTTTAATTACAGATAATCCGATTGTTTTGTACGGATTTATAAAGAAATTAAAATGATAGGACACCGAAAGGCAGAGCTTTCTGTTTATTAAGTAGTTTAATAATAGGCAGTCGTTATTGTGTTTGAATTCATGATATCATTAGCAGCGAAATAAGGCATCCAAATGACTGTCTCGGTCTGTAAATGATGGCTACAAACGACCGACATATCGATGCCCAATAAACTGGACCACCATTTATACCACTTATAGATTATTATATTATTGATTAAATGAATGTTTTGCTACAAATATAGATCCACGTAACATGTATTGGCACTAAAATTTATACAAAACAAAATTTACTCAGAGCTTAATTCAGTAAATTTATGTATAAATTCAGTTGAAATCATTTACATGTAGTTCATTAATATGGTTAGCATTAATGCCATAGATTTTTGGTCGACTGTAACTTCAATTAACCCAAATATGTCATTCATTTTGAAATTTAAATTTTAAGGACATTTTCTCTTAAATAGCCGTTTCATTCAAATTGCTCTCACTTTTGACACAAATATATGAGGCGATTATTTTTTTTCCTCTACACAAAACATCAATATTTAAATATTTACTGTATTTTAGGAGTCATTTAATTCAAGATATAATTTTTTAAACAGTATACCAAACGCTATTAAATTTAATGTTAGTTCAGTTAGTTAAATGATGGCAACTTTTTTTTAACTACCAAACTGTTCAGGGACATAGAATATATTATGTTACGCTAACACATTATTCACCAATATCAATTAAGTAAACTACCCGAGTAAAAATCGATTCAACACAGAAATCAATCTCTTATCCAATTAATGATTGATTATATAAACACAGGAATCAAACTTTTTAATAATGAAAACATTGTCGATAACATTGTATACCAAATACAAATTCTGTGCGAAAATTTAGTGATTTATTTTTATTTGCCATATATTTCGTCGGATTCGAAGTGCATAACAAAAATTTACATCATTTCCACTCCTAATCACATGTCCTATCGATAAGATTAATAGCAGTCTCTCTTTCTCTTTCTCTCTCTCTCTCTCTCTCTCTCTCTCTCGCCATAGATATAGTCTACTGTTTCACTATTAACGGCATATCAAATGGGAAAACACAGTATTTGTTTCTTTCGTTGAAATATTACACAAAACACATTCATTTCTCAATACTTTATACACACGTATTTATATTTGAAGTATATTTTCTTCATTCATACAACTCTTAAGACATGAGATCTTATTTCAGATACAGATTTTTGGTACAGAATATATCAATATATGGGAAAATATAATTATAAAACTCACATTTTATATCAAATGTTATTTCTTTAATAACATTTTCTGTATATAAAATATTTAATATTAATATCATGTTTACAAACGTCCAAAATAAACACACAATAAATATTTGTTAGAAATCTCAAACTAATTTACAATTAAAGAGTTAAATAATTGTCATTACTTTCCATAATATCGATTTTACTAATCATTAATTCATTGATTTCTGGCCCTTAAATGTATACAACTATTCAATACACACAAAAACTAAGCAAAAGTTAATGGATATAAAATGTGTGACTGACTTGAAAATGCATTGGAAAATCAAATGACATATAATCGCAATGAATGAGAAAACGCTATCAAAACAAAAATAAAAAACAAAATAAAACACTATTAGAGAAGTTAAGAGAAGATAAATAAATGGCTTGAGTTATGGTTTGGAAATATTTTTAAGTCTCAATTCTGAAAATCATTTTAGTTTCAAAAGTCATTTTTCAATCCATTTTTGTTTATTTGCGGAAATATTTCTTAAAATAGTATTTTTAAAAATAACTTTTAAACAATTTATTTTAATAAAAAAAAGCCATTATAATTTAATTATCAGCGCAAAGCAATTTGGTCAATTAGTTTAACTCGAGATCATTAAGACTTTTAAATATATCATTTAATAAATAATATTAATAAGTATTTAATACATTAAGCTCACAGAATATTCTTGCATTTAGTAAACCTTTACAATACCACCAATAGTTATAAATTATAACTTATAATACAGCCATAACTTACGCTATTTCGCAATCAATTCACATTTATTTTCCAATATTTATGAAACAATGAGTGGAAAAATATGACACATTTAGTTAGAGTATCTTATAATCATCAGATAATATGACTAAACATACGATACAAATATTTGAAACTTGATCATTTTACCTGAAAACCAATAAAAAACATACACATTGAACAAACATGGTTAAAATCCAATTACAGATGACCTTCATTAATGAACTTTATAGCATAAATGTATTGTGTGAGTAATTGACCATTACTATTTTTATACGTCAAAAGCATAATACTATTCAATAGTATTGCCGGTTAACACACAAGTGATATAATTGGCATCAAATCAGACTATTTTTCATAAATTGGTTATAATTTCAATTCAAATGATATCCGAAGCGATGGACGAAACACCGATGGTATGACACGTGGATATAAAAGCGACCATGGTCAGGTCGGGTCGGGTCTAACTAATAATTCCCATTCAATTATAGGACCTATCGTTGAAGACATGCGCTCCGGGAGTGGCGGCGGCTAAACCTCGATCGAAGCGGGCGGTGGCGCACAGGTGTGCGCCCAAACGCGGAGGCGCTGGTGACGGCCCGTCGACCGCACCCTCACTGATGGCAAACTCGGGTCAACTCCGACGAGACATTCAGGCGGTGTTGACGACCAGTGCCACGGCTTGGAGCGCATCCAAGTTTCGGTGGCGATCCGATCCCGAAGTGGTGGCCAACTCTCTGAAGGGCATGAGTTTCACGTTCGCCGGCACTCTGGAGAGCCTGACGCCCGCCGACGCCATCGAAATGGTCGAGTGCTGTGGCGGACGTGTGTTCAAGACGTTGGCCGCCAAGAGTCAGTATTTGGTGACCGGTTTGGGCGCCAGCCATACGATGATCACCGACGCCAAGAAGGAGCGCAAGACTCTTCTCAATGAGAAAGAGTTCTTGGATTTAGTCAAAGAGAAGGGAAGGAAAATGAAGACATTGATTAAGATGTGTCGACAGCACAGGTATAGTACGGATCCCGACTCTACCGATGACACCAGCAATGAGGAAGGCATCTAACCGTTGGATCTAACCATCAAATATGTATCAATTGTCGGCTGATTTGGTTTTGTATCTAAAAGTATTAACTATTATTTTTTGATGATTATTGACAGACATCTAGTGATTGAGGTTTAAGTTAAACTCAATTTAATGTTTAAGATTTAACTGATTTTCAATTGCAAATACTTTATAATTAAATTAATTACTATTTTTGTTAAACTAAATTAAAACTTTGGGGTTTATAAAGCAAATCATTATTTAAAAGTTTGACATTATAAATAATTTATTTAATTTTTCAAAAAGGCAATAAATATATTTAAAATTTTTACTTTAAAATGTGCACAAATGTGTTGATCAAAAACAAACTTTAATTTTCAATTTATAATAACTGTATAATTNACCCGGAGCGATGGGTAAGTATTAGTGGTGTGCGACACATGAGTGCTCTGTTCATTGATATGTAAGGCACCGGAAGGAGTGATTTCAGCCGACAGTTGGAAGGAGAGGACGCTTTCGATTTGAAACGGTATACGTTTGTGGCCGTAGAGCTGCCCGGTTGGGGACGATCCCGACCGCCCGCCCGGCCCTATGGTCTCGATGTCTATCACAACGACGCCGAGTGTTGTTTCAAAGTTATGGACGTATGTTATGATAAGACATGCATTTTAAAAATCTCTAACAAAAGTATATCCAAATGTGTTCAGGACTTAGGCTTCAAGACTTATTCAGTGATTGGTTGGTCAGACGGTGCAAAAGTAGCGCTTCTCATGGCTTATATGAACCCGAATCGGATCACGTGTTCGGTGGCCATCGGTATCTTCGTGTGGGCGACCAAACAGACGATCGCACCCATGATGTTGACCAGAGACACAAAACGGTGGCCAAAGGAACAGTTTGACACCTATTGCCAAGTCTATGGCGATGAAGAGACTCTTCAGCGCCTTTGGGACCAACACATCAACTTCTGTAGGGCTGCGATGGAGAACTGCGGCGACGGACAGTATTTGGTGACACCGGAACAGCTCAGTAATCAATCATTTGTACCCATGTCTTGAGCATTAATTTTGTTTTTAATGCATTTATAATTGTTTTGTAACCCTTTAGGACAGATCCGAAATCCAGTACTTCTAGTGCACGGAGATATGGTATAACTCATACGCTATGATAACAATACAATTTGATTAACTAATGTAATAATAAATTGATAATCAAAACATAGGACCCGTTGATTAGTATAGAGCACCCGATGTACTGTAAAAACAATATACCGGACGCTGTGTTACACCGATTCCCCGGCGGTTCCCATAACTGTCATCAGGTGTTCGCCAAAGAGTTTAAGAAACTCATTGAAAACTTTTTTGCTGATTGCGAGTCCGGAGGCTATTAATTGACATCATTTTCTCATTTAAATCTCTTTTTATTTAAATTATACATTAATTATACAGTTATTATAAATTGAAAATTAAAGTTTGTTTTTGATCAACACATTTGTGCACATTTTAAAGTAAAAATTTTAAATATATTTATTGCCTTTTTGAAAAATTAAATAAATTATTTATAATGTCAAACTTTTAAATAATGATTTGCTTTATAAACCCCAAAGTTTTAATTTAGTTTAACAAAAATAGTAATTAATTTAATTATAAAGTATTTGCAATTGAAAATCAGTTAAATCTTAAACATTAAATTGAGTTTAACTTAAACCTCAATCACTAGATGTCTGTCAATAATCATCAAAAAATAATAGTTAATACTTTTAGATACAAAACCAAATCAGCCGACAATTGATACATATTTGATGGTTAGATCCAACGGTTAGATGCCTTCCTCATTGCTGGTGTCATCGGTAGAGTCGGGATCCCATGATATGGACACGACAGCTGTGTAGAATTAGTTACAGAAGTAAAAGGAAGGGAAGAGAAACTGATTTAGGTTCTTGAGAAAGAGTAACTCTTCTCAGAACGCGAGGAAGAACCGCAGCCACTAGTTCGTATGGCTGGCGCCCAAACCGGTCACCAAATACTGACTCTTGGCGGCCAACGTCTTGAACACACGTCCGCCACAGCACTCGACCATTTCGATGGCGTCGGCGGGCGTCAGGCTCTCCAGAGTGCCGGCGAACGTGAAACTCATGCCCTTCAGAGAGTT